TTTTTTTTTTTTTTTTTTTTAAAGTTTATTATAGTTCTAGTGAAAGACATTGCCATCAGGCTCCCTCAGAACACCCCCAGTTCAAGCACACTTTTCGTTTTTCTTGCTGTGTTATGTCTTCACCTTGAGGGTGTCTGCTTGCGGGTGGCTTTCAGTATGGTGGGGCTGGTGGTGCTCTGCAGCCCTCGAGCCCCTGTCCAGCTGTGGGGACCCTGCTTTGGTTCTGAGAGAAAACCCCACACTCGGGTCTCCCTGCTCACTGAAAGCCCTGGCTGGACCCTGGGGGCAGCCCCATAAGCTGCATGTTGTGTCCCTTGTCACAGACCTTGCTACAGCACACAGCAGAGCAGGAGGAGCTGCGTGCATTCCCAGGACCCCTTGGCAAGTGAGTTCCGGGAGGCAGCTTGGTGTGGGCTCTGCGACAGAGCTGAGCTGGGCCTGTGTTCTCGGCGTCCGCGTTCACCGAGCATTTGTTCTTCTCACAGAGATGACACCCACAAAGTGGATGTCATTAACTTTGCACAGAACAAAGCGGCAAAATGTTTACAGAATGAGAATCTACTTGACAAAGAATCTGCGAGTCTCCTCTGGAACTTCATTATCCTCTTGTGTCGGCAGAATGGGGTCTGTGCCCTGGGCTTCCACCGCACTGTTCCCCACTGGCCTTCTGTCTCGGGCTCCATCCTTGTCTGTGCCCTGCTGTGGCCCGGCTCCTGCAGGAGGGCATCATGGCAGTGCCTGGGGAGGGCAGCGGGAAGGGAGGGGCATGGGGCGAGCTGAGGGGCGGGCCCAGCTTTGGACCTTGGTGTCCTAACGTGTGCCACTCGGGGAGACTGGGTCAGGTCTCCTGCTGCTGGAGGCTGTGGCAGGAGAGCCTCCCGCTGCTCTCCATCTTATCCCTTTTGGCCCTGCAGACTGTGGTGGGAACAGACATTGCGGAGCTCTTGTTGCGAGACCACAGAACGGTGTGGCTTCCTGGGAAGTCTCCCAATGAGGCGAACCTCATCGACTTCACCAACGAGGCTGTGGAACAGGTAGAGGAGGAGGAGTCTGGGGAGGCCCAGCTGTCCTTCCTCATGGACAGTCAGGTGACTGCCACCAGTGCCCTGGAGAAGGAGACCGAGAGGTTCCGGGAGCTGCTGCTCTACGGCCGCAAGAAGGTACAGTCTGTCCTGCGCCACTGTGCCTGGCACTCCCAGGGAGAGACTGGTCATTACCTTGGATCTGCCTCTGGTGGTGTGAGGAACTCCCTGCCGAGCTGAGCCACGGCGGGCTCGGGCTCCATAAGGAGTGGGGCAGTGCCGTGCCTAGCACAGTGGCAGCATCCAGGAGGCAGCAGAGTTGTCCCAGCCTTGACCCTATCTGCGATGTAAACAGATGCGCTCGTGCCCAAGCCACTTGCAGTCCCTGTGGCTGTGCCATCTGCCTGGGCAGAGTGGAGGACCATGGTTGAGTTGGTGTGGCGGGAGGAGTGATGGCAGGCCTTCGGGGTGTGCTGAGGGAGCTGCGTCGTGGAGGCCTGGTGCTGGGCGCCGAGATCGTTGTCTGTCTGTGTCATAACTGAGTCAAAGCTGAGCATTTTGTGGTGTTGGGGGTGGGTGCTAGAGTGTTGCCGTGTCGCTACGTGAACTATACCCTGACTTAGAAAGTTGTGCTTTTGAGATGGAGTTGCCCTGTGATGCCCAGCCTGGCCTTCAACTCTCTGGGTTTGCGTGATCCTCCCACCTCAGCTGGGACCACAGGGTGCACAGTGCCCACTGAAGGCTCATTTTAGATCAGTAGGATTGGAATATGGACATTTTACAAGTGCCTGGAAGCCGGGTGTGGTGATGCATGCCTGTAGTCCCAGCACTTGGGAGGCTGAGGCAGGAAGACTGCCATGAGTTCAAGGCCAGCCTCCACTAACAGTGAGACCCTGCCTCAAATACAGACACAAGTGACCGGGGTTATATAACCTGTTAGCTTTGTTGGCACTCACCTCCCTCTCGAGTTTTCCTCTTGGCCAGAAGTGCTGCTACACCCCCAAAGGTTTGGGCATGGCAGCTGCATCAGTGCGGTGCTGAGCCAGGCCATTTGTGGGGGTGTGCGTGTCCCCAGGACAGAGGAGCCAGAGCACGTGGTGTGGCTCCCAGCAGTCGGGTGGTCAGGACTGGGTGGTGCCACCTGGCGCTGACTGTTCTGCATCTTACACTGAGGTGGACAAGAGCGCAGCACTCGTCCCCATGGGGACTTGGAAGCCAGGGACGATGAGGCATGGCTGCGGGCCCAGGCGGAGTGACTGACAGCTCATGTGAGCCCTGAAACACATTGCAGGATGCTCTGGAGTCCGCCATGAAGAATGGCCTGTGGGGCCACGCCTTGCTCCTGGCCAGTAAGATGGACAGCCGGACCCATGCCCGCGTCATGACCAGGTGTGCAGCTTCGCACAGCTCACTGTGCCGGCAGGGGGCTGTTGGAGGTGGCTTCTGCGCCCACATGGCCTGCCCAACTCGTACTGGCCAGAGATTCATATATTTTTTATTAGCTGCTGGTTCTTCTTGTTTGCTGTGGAACCTCAGTGAACTCCTCCTTTGGCACCCTTGGTAGCTTTCCGGGGTGGAGATTTGTGTGCTTTGCTGAGGTTCAGCATCTGTTGGAGATTAAATAAAAGCTTGGGCCTAGGCTGGGCTCTCAGATGCAGCCAGTCAGGTCTTGAGGTTCCCGTGTCTGCCTAGGTTTGCCAACAGCCTCCCCATCAATGACCCCCTGCAGACAGTCTACCAGCTCATGTCTGGGCGCATGCCTGCTGCGTCCACGGTGAGTGCCGCGGGTCCTCAGGCCTCAGACCGCCTCTCTCGCTCTTGCTTTCTTGTGGGCTCAACCACTGGGACATTGAAGCAACACTCCAGGTTTAGGGTTTGCTTCTGTTTGCTTCTAATCGCAGTGTTGTGGAGATGAAAAATGGGGAGACTGGAGGCCACACCTCGCCATGGTTCTGTCCAACTTGAGCAACAACGTGGACGTGGAATCCAGGACCATGGCCACGATGGGTGATACCCTAGGTGTGTCAGCGCGAGGCGGTGCCAGCCAGGTTATGGGGGTCGCGCCACAGCTGTTGCTCACCCAGTGGCTGTTTCTCTGGGGGCTGAGCCAGCTGCTCTGTCTCTTGCCAGCCTCCAAAGGTCTCCTGGATGCTGCACACTTCTGCTACCTCATGGCCCAGGTTGGATTTGGGGTGTACACAAAGAAAACCACCAAGCTCGTCTTGATTGGGTCAAATCACAGGTGAGACATGGAGTGAGTGGTGTCTGCTTGCCTTTGAGAAGAAACAGGTACCTGTCCTGTAGTTCATTTGGAAATCACTGGCCTTTTGCCTCTGTCTGTCCCACCAAGGACACACACTCCTGGGCGACTTGCTCCAAGGTTGACAATGCCTGGAGGTAGCCACTTTTCCAGTCTGAATGACTCACTTCCCCAACAGCTTGCCATTTTTGAAGTTTGCCACCAATGAAGCTATTCAAAGGACAGAAGCCTACGAGTATGCCCAGTCCCTCGGATCCCATACCTGCTCCTTACCTAACTTCCAGGTAAGCAGAAGGATGTGGCTGTGGCCTTCCGGTGTGGGTGGTGTCCAGCACTGACCAGCTTTGGGTTCACTGACCAGTTTTGGGTCCTTATGCAGATAATGAGGTTTATTGGTTGATCTGTAAGGCTTGGAGCACCAAACCATTCCAAAGTGAGGCTTTGTCTAGTTCGGTGGTACACACCTGTGACTCTGTTTCTTTGAGAGGCTGAGGCAGGCTGCAGGTGTAGCTCAGTGGCAGGGGGCTAATCTGGCATGTACAGGGCACGGGGTTCAGTCCCCAGGACCACAGAAAAGAGGAAGGAGAAAGAATTGCAGGGGGCCAGCTGTGTCCCTTTGGAGCTTATCGTGTCCTCTGACCTACGTTGTCTTGAGCATGGCGACTGGTACCGTTGGTGGCAGCACGTAGGGTAGTAGGGAACGGGCTGTGGCAGGCATTTCCCAGCTTGCAGGTTCTGTGAGGAGAAGCAGGGAAGCCCAGAGGGTTAAGCTGTGCTCGTGCTTCTAGGTGTTCAAATTCATCTACTCCTGCCGCCTGGCCGAGATGGGGCTTGCCACCCAGGCCTTCCACTACTGCGAAGTGGTCGCCAAGAGCATCCTGGCACGGCCCAGCCTCTACTCGCCTGTGCTGCTCAGCCAGCTGGTCCAGGTGGGTCTGTCCCTGAGGGTGCCCAGACCCTGGTGGCATAACTGAACGTTCTCGGCAGGCATTCTGTGTTTGGCAGTCTCAGTGTAGTGGGCACTTTGTGCCAGTGCGGAGTCAGCGGTAAGTTTCAGTCAGGAGGACCCCGTGCTGTTGGTATTTGAGGCATTTTGCCTGGAGGTCGGGGTTTGGGTCCTGGCTTCTCGCCTGTTTGATGGAGACACATGGCCAGCTACAGTGGCCACCAGCACTGGACGTGTTGGGATGTTCCCCTCCCTCAGTCTGAAATGCTAGGTCTAAAATGCACACATGTGATAACTGTGAAAACCTGCTAGGGCAGAAATCTCAGCCCTACACGGAAGGACAGAGGACAGTTGTGAGTCTATGTTCATGTCCATCGCCTCCAGCAGTTTTTAGCACGTGCCAAACTGGTCTCACACCTGCCACGTCCCCAGGAACCATCAGAGAATGTGTCCCTCCTTGTATCAGCCAAGCCCGGGGTTGAGAGCCACGCGTGTGTGGAGAGCCCCACCCTCGGTGCCTCTGCTCACCCAGCTTCATGGGTTTGGTGCCATCGCCCAGCACCAGGAGAGACACCCGTTGCCCATGAACACTTGATTCCCACTCGGCACGGGCACAGAACTCGGGCCTTGCTCAGTGCTGTCTTTGGGCTTCTAGGTGGCTTCCCAGCTGCGCCTGTTTGACCCTCAGCTGAAGGAGAAGCCGGAGGAGGAGTCCTTCCTGGAGCCTGCCTGGCTGGTCCAGCTGCAGCTGGTGCACAGGCAGGTCCAGGTGAGCCCGTCTGGGATGGCCAGCATGTGTGACCAGGTGCCCTGTGCCCGCTGTTGTCATGTGAAAGCTGTCTGATCTCAGAAGCATGTGTGCTCTTAGGTTTCTTCCCTGCCCAGCCTGGCATCAGGTGGCTGCCCTCCCCCCAAAGGGGGCAGCAAGTGGTGGTAGCAGAGGGCTGTGAACTGGCGCCCTGGGCTGTAGCTCCTTGTCCGCAGCTCCCGCTTCTCCTCCCTTAGGAGGGCACTGTGCCCTGTGGCCAGGATGCAGCTGAACCCCAGCGCTGTCCCAGCACACCAGGCTCTGAGGTGGAGCAGTTGGATGGCCCAGGACTCAGCCGGCTGGTGGGGCTGGGAACTGAGCCCTCCCTGCTCCCTGGCCCAGAATGCCTGAGTCCAGTTGGGCAGCTGCCACCCTCAGGTGAGTCCCACGGAGGCCCAGCCTGCTCTCTAGGGTCTCCCTTTGTCTTCCTGCCTAGAGAATAGAGATGCTGTGCACTGTGGGCCAGTGGGTGTCTGAGGGCTTCTTGGCCTTGCTTTTTCTGCTTCCTCCCTTGGTTTCAGAACTGGCTGCCACTGATACACCTGCCCCACCAGCCCAGGCCCCTGGTCTCTGGCCACCTCTCGGCCTTGTGCTTCTCTGCAGCCTCACGAACCTGCCTCATCAGAGCGGGGGTTCCCCCTCACCCCCTCAGGAAAAGCCCCCCCATTCCTCTCACTTGCACCCCACGCCTCTGCTGGTCAGACGAGTGCCTTTCCTACCCTGCCCACCTTCTGCTTCTGCCTGCCTGGGGTAGGACTGTGGCCTGTGGGCCTGCAGCTCAGCCTCACAGCCCGCCCAGCCTCCTGTGCTGCCCCAGCTTGGTATCCACTGCAGCCCGAGCCGGGCAGATGCCGCCCTCTTCCCCTGCAGGCCCCTGGCCCTGCAGCTCTCCTCAGTGCTTCCTTCAGCTGCTTTCTTGGTTCATCCCCATCGAGATGTTTTGTTTTTTTGGATGTCTTTGCTAGCTGCTCATGCTGGCCTCAAACTCCCAGGCCCGAGTGATCTTGGCTCCACTTCTCAAGAGGCTGGGGCCACAATGTGTGCCACTTTGCCCGGCACCCTATTCTGTCACCAGTGCGGCTGGTGCCCAGCCTGTGCCAGTGGGCACAGGCCCCTGCTCACGGGTTAGGAGGGTGGGTGCATCGGTGCCATGGGTGGTCTGTGACTCCTGGTCCCGGAGGGGAGGACTCGGTGAACCAGCAGGGCTCTGTGCCCGGTGCCCGCCCTGCCCCACTCCAGGAGTAAGTGTGCTCTTGCTGCACACTGCCTGCAAGGGGTGTTTCCAGCCACCCCAGTACGTGTGAGGCTGCACAAAGTCACCAGGAGATGTTTTGTCTATTGCGTGCCCCTAAGCTCCCTCAGCCTCGGTGACTCTGCCTTCTCTCCTGCTATCCCTGCAGCTCTGCAGAGTCTCCCTGCTGGCCAGCCGCCCCACCCTGCCAGGGTGCCGATGTACCCAGTGCCACTGCCCTTGGACCCCCAGGAGCCAGGCCCCGGCTATGGACCCCCAGGGTCTGCACTCAGCTTCCCAGAATCCCCCAGGCCTGAACCTGTGGCTCTGTACCCTGGGCCAGGCCTGCCACTTGGCACCCCGTCTCTGCAGGACAGTGGCCCCCTGCTGCAGGCCTGGAGCCCGGACCCAGGTGTGTCTGCCAGGTGCCGTCCCAAGGGCAGAGCTGGGCTGGATTTGGTTTCCATGGGTGACCAGAGGCAGAGACTGTGTGGACCAGATGTTCTAGATGTTACAGCTGGGTGATTTGTTACATCGGGAAGCACAGTGGCCCTCGAGGGTGCGTCAGAGTAGTCTTGGACATAGCGGGCCTGTCCACGGCTGTCCTTGCAAATTCCTTTTGGGAGTGCTTAGGCTTCTGCCCAGAGGTCGGGCTTGGGAGGCTTCTCCCCCGATCTGCACCTGCCTCTCTGGATCTGTGTGAACAAAGGGAAGCACAGACCTGGCTTTAAAGCAAAACAGCAGCCACACACTTGCGAAACCTTCATCTTGGTTTCAGGCATGTGCGGGTGCCCTGCTCCCCCACTTTGTGTGCACAGCGGTGGCACCATAGCCACTCTCTCCTGTGTCTGTCCACAGGGATGGCACCGCAGGAGTCGCCTGTACGAAACCCACTGCCCGAGCCAAGTGAAGAGGATTTTGGCGGAAATTTTGCTAATCTGGTACGTTCCTGCTTCTTTTTTCAGAAAACCGTGCTTTCTGAAAAGTTCATAGAATGGGTAAGTTCTTTAGTTGTGAGGAGGGGGATAACGAAGCTTGTGAAATTATCTTTTAACTTTTTTCTTGAAGAGAAAATCACCTTAATTCTCAAAATATGAAAAGTGAAAATGTTGATTGCAAAAGATGGGAAGAACTCAGTAGTGGAAAAGCAACAGCTCCTTTAAGTAGAATAGCAGAATACATTGAGTTATCTAATTTTCCAAAGTGGAGCCCCTCCCTGATCTTGGTTCCTTGGTGTGCTGTTTTCACGCAAGTCTGTGAAGGTGCAGCTGGTTTTAGCAGACGTGCATGGCCGGCAGCTTCTTTACTGACACTGGCACCCGCGGGCGTTGGCACCTGTGGGCAGCTCTGGTGTGGAGGAGCCCTCTGCACCCTGTGGTTTCCCATGTCCTGCCTGTGCCCAGCAGTCAGAGTCCGGGCCTCAGGGTTGGTGGCAGTGTCATCCCCTGGGGTGGCAACTTCCAAAATCCTTCTGTTGCTTCAGTCACACTGCCCACCGGGCTCTGATCTCTCCCTCTCATCTCACCCTCGATCCCATGCTCCGATCCCTGGCCTGACTGTGCAGTCCAGGCACCGCCATGCTCCCAGTGGGAGCTGCTTATCAGGCCTGGCTGGCATCTCTTGCCTGCCCTCAGCACTCCCCTTGGCCCTGCTCCCGCCATCCTCTGCCTTCTGCTCTCGGGGGTCCTGGTGGCACCTGCCCGGCCTGCTGCTGCTGCTTGTAGAGGCCCAGGAGAGCCAGCTCTGTGTTGTCTTGGGACAGGGCTCCCCGAGGACGGCACAGGACCTGGAGACACCCCCAGCCTGGGATGGCGCTGGTTCAGGATCACCACAGCCTGCCCCACCTCCAACACCTGCACCTGAAGCCAAGAAAGCAGCGCCAGCAGCCAGGAAAGAGACCAGAGAACCCAAGAAGGTAGAGCGGGGCCTGGGCCCCATCCAGCCAGGCAGAGGCAGGCAGCGTGGGAGGAGGCACAGCATCCGGGGCTGGGGAAGGTGGACCTCAGAGGCTCCCTTTGGCGGGGTGTGTGTGTGATGGTCACAGTGAGGGTGTCGGCATGGCAGCTGTAGAGTTTTGTTTTTGTCACCCCTGGTCAGTGAGGACCCTGTGGAGTCTGGCAGCTGCCCATGTCCTGTGGCAGCGTGGCTGTGTGTGTGTGTGCGCGTGCTGCATGCTGTGGTGTGGAGGAGGCTCAGCCTGGTGTGGCAGCCAAGTCACGAGAGTGCCTGTGTGTCCATCTGTGATGCTGGCCCAAGCGTTGTCTGCCGTGGACTCCTGTCCCAGCAAGGAGTGTGGCTGGTCTCGCGTGCACACTCTACTGGGGCGAACACTGTGTGGGTTGCAAGGCTGCAGAGGAGCAGCTTCCTGGCTCTGGCCAGCTGGGACTCTGCGTGGTTTGCTTTTGGCCCGGCAGCCTCTGTTCAGGGCCCTGTGGCAGACACTTGTGCTCTCCACCCTTTGCATAGCATTTGTTCCAGTCTTTAGCTTTTCTTAAAAACTTTTATTTGCATTACTGAGGATCAGACCCAGGGGTACTACTGAGCTACATCCCCAGACTATTTTGGTTTTTAATTTTTTAAATTTATTTTTTTGAGGCAGGGTCTCCCTGTGCAGCCCAAACTGTCCTCCAACTCACAGTCCTGTCTCAGTCCCCCAAGTGCTGGGATAACAGGCGTGCACCAGCGCGCCCATGTCCTCTTCTGCTTTGTGAGTCTTGCTTGCTAAGTTAGTTGCCCAGGCAGCCTCACACTTGGAACCCACCGCCATGGCCTCCCGTGTAGTGGGGCTGCAGGTGCACAGCACTAGCCCAGCGGTCCTTCGTCCTTAGCCGGTGAATTGTCTTAGTCGTCTGTGGGAGCCCTCCAGGGGCCAGGGTATGAGTATTGGGGAGGCTGCTGGCCCCTGTGTTCTTGTTGGTATCTTAAGAAGAATACAGTTGTGCCTTCGCAGAGGATCCAGGTATCTGATTGTGCTTGTGTGGCAGTGCCGTGAAAATAAACACATTTAATAAAAAATAGTGAGTTTGAAGAGTAAGACTCACACAGTGCTTCCAGCAGCTTTCAGAGTAAGCAGACAATGCTGACCCTGGGACAAGTCATCTCCCTGACCAGTTCCTAGAAAAACAGAATGGGAGCAGGACGTGGTGGCACACACTTGTAATCCCAGCTATTGGGAGGCTGAGACAGGAGGATGCAAGTTCACGGCCACTCTGAGTAATTTAGCAAGACTTTGTCTCAAAATGAAAGGTCTGTGGTACTGCCGCCTGCCTCACAAGCGCAAGGTCCCAAGTTTGATCCTCAGTACCAAATAAATAAAGAAATAAATAAGTGGGCTGTGGAGGTAGCTAAGTGGTAGAGGGCTTATTTAGCATGCATGAGGCTCTAGGTTTAGTCCTGAATAGTAGGAAAAAATAAAAATAGAATTGGGGTGTCTGTAGCTGCTGCTGCTTTTCTGTCCTTTTTAATGGAAACAGAGTCCAACAAGTAGGGTACAGAGTACATTTCCTCTGCCCAGACTCTGGATGGGGAACTGGGGCGGCTTTACTTCCGGGACCTCCTGGCTCTGCTGCCTGCAGGGAGAGTTCCTGAGTGCCCATGCAGCTCATTCCTAAAGCTACTGCCCTTCTGGATTTTGTTTCTTAAAGATGGGACTGGGGCCGGGGGTGCGGTGCATGCAGGGTGAGCACTTGTCTGGCCTCAGAGAGGCCCCAGAATCAGGGAGGTGGGGGGCACACATGCATGAGACGTGCACGTGTGTGTGTGTGTGTGTGTGTGTGTGTGTGTGTGTGAAAGAGAGAGAGACTTTTTGGCCTTCTTTTTTTTTGGTAACGGGGATCAAACTCAGGACCTTGTGTTTACCAGGCAGGTAGTGGTGCCACTGGGCTAAATCCAGGCCCTCGAGCTTCTTAAGATCAGCCATAGTTTCTGTTCTTATCAGTCTGGTATCTGACCTGTCCCCACTCTGAGGACCATGTATCAAGTGGACTTTTGGACCTGGGAGATGGAACAGGGGCTTGTGCAGTCCCTTCTGCTCCTCTGCTTGCTTCTGTGGTGCTGCCAGGAACGTTGCATCACTCCCCGCCCCAGCTGATTGAAGAAAAAAAAGCGCCGGGCATCTCCAGTTCTGAATGCACAGTGCAAAGCGGAAGAGACTTGCACTGCTGCATGGCCATCCCCACGCCAGCTCCAGAGACTTTCCCCTTCCCTGATGAGAGTGCCCTTTTAGGCCCAAGCCTCTGGCCCTGGCACTGCACTCTAGCTCTGACCCCTTGGGGCCCCTGTGTCCTCCTGTCCCCCAAGTCACCGTGTCTCAGGGGCCTGGTGGTGTTTTGTTTAGAGCGAGTCCTGGTTCTCTCGCTGGCTCCCTGGGAAGAAGAGAACTGAAGCTTACCTGCCAGATGACAAGAATAAATCGGTGAGTGTCACGCAGTATGGCTTCGCCTGTCGCCAGCAATTCATACGGTGTTTGGGGGTCCCAACAGTCTCAAGCAAGTGTCCTCCTTGTCAGGTCCAGATCCTGTTGAGCTTCAGCCTACTGATGATTTTCTTCTTCCAATCTTGGCAGATTGTCTGGGATGAAAAGAAAAACCAGTGGGTGAACTTGAATGAGCCAGAAGAGGAGGTACGTTGTGGTTTCGAGTGTGTACTGCCCATGTGTTTTGGGGCTCCTCTTGGGGAGTCCTGGCGCCAGGTCGGCGTCTGAGCTGTCTCTCTCTCCGCAGAAGAAGGTTCCACCCCCGCCTCCCACCGCCTTCCCCAGGGCCCCACAGGGGGCTCCCCCTGGGCCTAGTGGTCCTCCTGCAGCCTCTGTGAATGTGTTTTCCAGGAAAGCAGGTAACAAGAAGTCGGGAGCCTGGCAGCCATGGGGCTGAGGGTGAGCCAGTGTGGCCAGGCCCAGCCCCCAGGCCGGCGCCCCACACAGATGTTCCTGTGCGCTGGTCAGGGTCACTGCCTGGGACACTGCCACGGGTGGGGGCCTGCTGTCCTGTGACACAGCGAGGCGAACCTTCACCCTCCGGCAGGTGGATCCAGAGCGCGATACGTGGATGTCCTGAACCCGGGCGGGACCCAGCGAAGTGAGCCAGCTCTTGCTCCTGCAACATTTTTCGCTCCACTCGCCCCGCTCCCAGTCCCTCCTAATGTGTTCGTACCCAGCCCAGGTAGGCAGCACTAGAGCGAGCAGGCTGGTGTCTGCCGCCCCATCCCCTCGCTCGTCTGGATGACCTGACCGGGGCCCAGTACGGGCGTGTGCTCAGCAGCCCTGGCCTCCCCTGGCTGTGGGAAGGACACCCCAGGTCAGGTGCGTGATGGCCCTGCCCTTCTCTCTCACAGATGCAGAGGAGCCTCAGCTTGCAGGTGGAGCTGGCAGTGGGGGGCAGGTGCCCACTGGGGCTCAGGCTGATCTGGAGCCCGTGGAGGACCCTAAGGTATATGGAAATTGGGGGAGGACCTGCTGGTGTCCCCTCCCTCTGCATGTGGCGCCCGGGCTGTACACATGCATGGTGCTGTGCTTTCAGTGTTTAAGGTTTCATGTGGGTCAGCGATGGGACATAGCAGGCTGGGGACAGTTTCCCCTAGGAGGCAGGAGGGAAACACTGGAGACAGGAGTGACAGCTCCTCGCGCTGATGCTCTGACTGCAGAGAACCGCTTGGGGTGGAAAATTTTATGGATGCATATTTTACCACTATTTTTAAAAATGAGGAAGAAAAATTACTCCAAGTTAAAAAAAGAAAGGAGAAATTACCTAGCAGCAACAGAAGTTAGACAGCAAATCTTCCCCTACACAGGACAGGTGAGCCCTGGTGAAGCAGGGTGTTTCAGGCCGGTGTCCTGCTCTCCCGCCCCCAGTTGTGTCCTCCAGTGGGAGCGACAGTGCCCATTCGGGGCCTAGGCTGCTGTCCTGTCAGAGCCGCTAGAGCCCACTGCCTGCAGTCGGCACGGTCCCGGGAGGCACCCCTTGTGCCCACTGGCAGGGGAGCCTGGGTTGGGCAGCCTTTTCTGGTGGTGAAAGATGCTGCAGCCCCTGGGGCTGGGTCTCTGTCACATCTGCATGTCCTTAGCAGGTTTCAGGCTTGGCAGCGTGGCCACCTGGTCCCGAACTCCCAACCCCCAGACTGGGCTGCTCCCAGAGCAAAGAGGTGGCCCTGCATGCACATCCCCCAGGTCCCTCCTGGCAGCCCATCTCCATCACCCAGGGGCATCACCCTCTGAGAACTAAGGGAGTGATTTATCTCTGCATGGGGGGCACACGCCTGTCATCCCAGCACTCTTGGAGGCTGAGGCAAGAGGATTGCAAATTCAAGACCAACCTGGGCAACTTAGCAAAACCTTGGGGGTGTAGCTCGGTGTGTCTGCCCTGGTTTCAGAACCCAGTACTTCAAGAAGCAAAGAAAAGCCCATTTAAAAAAAAAAAAGCTATGGAAATGAGTAGGAAAGAGCAGGTTGTGTCCCAGGAGAACACTCCCACCTGTTGCCGTGCTATTGCATAGGAGCTCCACATAGAGGGCAGGGGGCTGACATCCACCCTCAGTGTGGCTTGAGTGTCCTGAATTTCAAGGTGGCACCAGGTGAAGCTGGCACGGCCCGAGTCCTCCTCTGGGTGGACTGTGCATCTCTGACGCGGACTGCAGAGGGAGGGTGTGGGCTCCCGGCCTCTTGCCCACGTGTCCCCTCTGGCCTGCCACGTCCTGCAGCTGAGCGGGTGGCGGCTTGGCGCAGGCCGGTGTGACACTGCGTGTCTGTGCTCTTGCTGTCCGTAGCTGTCGCGCTGGAGCTCGGGGAGCTCGCTGTCCTGGGAAGTGGGCCAGCACTTCCAACAGGTACTGGGCTGCCAGGCCTCTGCTCGCGTGTCCGTGTCACCTCTTGTCACTAACCGCACCGTCCGCGCGGCGCAGCACATGGCTATGGTGCAGTGTCCCTCCCCGGCCGCCCTCGGGGCTTTGGCCTTAGTGCCTGAGGCCCCTATGGAGGCCCCACAGAGTCGAGAATGCACCAGTGTCATTTGTCATTCTGCTCTGGGCCGGGCCCCGAGGGTTGGTCCTGTGACCTGGCTGCCTCGTCTCCGGGGTAGGACACCCCAGTGAAGGAAGCGTTCTTCCTGCCTCTGGCAGTCTGTCCGACGTGAGCAGGGGTGAGCTGCTGGCCGGCCGCTGCCAAAGTCCATCTTTGGCTTGTGTTGTGGGCCCAGTGAACTGGTTCTCGGGGCTGTTGGTGGCTGCACGTCGGCCCCCGGCCTTTCCAAGGCAAGTGCCAGGCCCTACTAGAGCTGGGCTGAGGGATGTCACCGTGCCCGTGCCGTGTCTGCATGTGCTGGTGTCTGAAGCATTTCACTCTGCATGCCGCTCTGATTTTTGCTGTCTTGTGAACCACCCATGTGGACATGACAACGTCTAGTGCTGCCAGCACTGCCCAGACTGCTGCTTGGCTTGTCAGAGCATTCTTGGGCCTTCCTAGGAGTGGTCCTCTGTAGGTGGGACAGCAGCCCTGTGCAGTGCTGCCTTGCTGAGGGACTTCTCTGCTTCACAGGCTCACAGTGACCACCGTGCCGCAGGCCCTAGCAGTGGGGCTGTGCCCCTTTACAGCCCCGCCCAGGTTGCCCAGGTGAGTGGCCTTACCTGTACGGCCAAATGGGTCTCTCCTTCCGCATCGCAGCTGCTCTCAGCAGGTGTGTGAGCAGGCTCAGTCACCAGTCCCATCGGTGCCACCACCTGTCCCTCTCCGGGGGCTCCCACTGCTGACTTGGGCGTCAGCTCCTATCACTGCTCCTAGGCTCTGCCGGCCTCGGCTTTTGCTCCCAGCTTCTGTTCTTCTGGGGCCACAGAAGTGTGACATGTGACTGTTCCTATTGGCCCAGTGGCCAAGCAGCATCTGCTGTTCTGGAGATGGTTGTTGCCTTCAGCTAGCATGCTGTGGCCCAGCACTCTCCTCTGAGGCCCTGGGACCCAGTGCGGGGTCCTTTGGATCCTCCCCAGGTCAACCCCTGTCCTGGTGCCACACTTCTAGTGGGGTCTTGACACAGGGTGCATGGCTGTCTGTGTAGGGACCCCTTGCTGTCCGGGTGCTGGCTGAGGCTGGGCAAATGGGACTCTGGGCAAGCATCCTCTTTAAGTTGAAGGTGTGCCATCCTGGGGCACTGCGTCCTGAAGGTCTACCTGTGACCCCAGGGCCCACACTGTTACAGTCCGGCTGGCAGTTGAGGTGGTGCCGCCTAGGGGAAGAGGACTAGGCAGGCCTCTGGCACCCCGAATGGGCAGTTCACCCGCCCTGGCCTTGCAGACTCTGCTTCAGCTGCCACCCTGCTTTGTTCCGGTTGCCACCTGGGTCCCTCTGCTCTGCAGCTTCTGGATCGGAGCATTTTTCCTCTTTCCTTCCTGCTCCCTGCAGTGACAGGCCACGGCACTGTCTGCCCTGGGCTCACTGGACAATCCCCGCAGGGTTGGCCTAAAAAATTAGCTCTGTGGCTCCATGTGCTAGGAAACACTGATGCTTTGAGCCCAGTTCCGTAAACCAAAGCCTGGGCCTAACACCGGTGCTCAGCCTCAGGAACCCACACTGAGCGTGCACTTTGTCCCCAGCCACATTCTTGGAGGCCCACTCACCCCACCCCACAACCCCTTGGGTTTGCCTCTCTGAGGTGACACGCAGAGCTGATCGCTGGTCCTTTTTTCCAGGCCTCCACCACTTCAGGGAGCTTGCGGCCTGGGAGGATTGGCCAGCGGAGATACCCAACACTGAACTAGACCCGTCTGTCATCTGGCCTTGCGGTTGGGCCCCTGCAATGACTGTTCTCTGCCAAGAGCTGGACAGGCCACCCAGGGCCTTGTGGTCCCCGAGCGGACACAGCAGTAACTCAGCTGGTCATGCTGCGCGTCTCCCTCCTCCTGCCTATCTATATTCATTATTGCCAAATTAATTCCACGATCCTTTTAGGATGCTGGGTACATGAATCTGACCTGAACTCTTTCACGGAGAGGATGGCTCTCCTTCCTCAGTTGCTTAGGATGATGTAGGGACACAGTACTTGGCAGTCACCTGGGAGCATCAGTGAAGGGAAGCCAGGGCCTGGTGCAGTCCCACACTTCTGTCAGGATCACAAGAGGAAGGAGTGGATGCTCGGCTCAGCGGGGCAGGCCCCGATCTGCTGTGGCCTGGCTGTTGCGCTCCCATGGTCGGCGGTGGTGGCAGCAGGGGAGAGGCCCTGGTCACCGTGGGCCTGTCTCTCTGGGAATGAAGATGTGCAGCCTGACTAGGACCTGGGTGACTCCGTATGGCATGGCGCTGTCGCCTGGAGAGCTGTGCTCGAGCAGCTGGTCTGGGTTCCGTCTACGGATGCCTTCCTTGGAGATGCCAGTGAGGCCAGGGCTCAGAGGAGGGGGCACGGAGAGGCCTCCCCCTAAATGCCCATACCAGACCAGGGCCACAGCACTGCAGAGCTTCAAGGTCCTCTGACTTCTTAAAACTTCTTACTGACCTATGGGGACTGAGGCTATGGGAAGAGTCAGATATTCATGAAATCAATAGGTAATAGTGTGGTAGGTCCTGCTGGAGGAACACAAATGGTTGGTTTGGTATTTTAAGTAGAGAAACTGTAGAATGTGGAATTAGCATAGCCCTCCCCAGTTTCCTGGTTCACCTCATCCTCCAGGTGAGACCCCAGAGCAGTTTCCAGAATGTTCTGAGACGAGGCTGCCTGGACCCCTGGCCCATCACTGGGCAGCGTCCGGGGGTGGGGTGGGCAGCCCGGGTGACCCCCGCCCAGACTGGCCGGCTTCCTGCTGTCCAGCCCTGCCCAGGCTCCACGTCAACTGCCAGCCACCTTTGATCTAAGCAGCTTCCTCGGAGGCGGGAGCTGCTATTTTTCCTAAATGCAAATTGTTAAATAAAATATTTTGGGCTCTCAAGCACCTTCCCCTGTGGTGTCTGCGTTTTGGGGACCAGAGGACGCCAGTAACTCCGAGGCGAGGCTGGCCCGGGCCGGGGGCGGGGC